TACACATCGACAAAAGCAGAATATTATCTCGCAGCACATGGTTATTAAAATCTTACAAAAAGGTAGCCAAAAAGCTAAAACCGTGACAAATAGCATTAGCTTAATGTTCTTTTACCCGGAAATCTGTGCCTTGGAGAACACGCAACTCCAAGGCAGCCATTTTCTTCTGGTCGAACTTGGACAATATGACGTCACTGAAGGAGGTATTCCTGATACTAGTACTCCCGTGAAGCGAACATACCGTACATTTCAGAAGCATACGTATACTGCCCTTAGTTCTTTATTTTTGAGAGAGAGAAAATGTACAAATAAATGTTTTTCAAAAACAACAAGAAGTCTATGAGTAGCAGTTCATTTTCATTCATTTCCTGATGTTTTCGCTGTTCCACTTTCCGAGGGACGTTCTAATACAGTGTCTCATTTAGCAAGTAATTTTGTCCTGGTTTGACCTTGAAACAACTTCAAACAGATCATTTTTGTCACGGTTTTCGCGCTGGTGAGCATTTAATAAACATTCTATCGATTGGTGATAGTTTCGGTTGCTGAGATATGGAAATTTTGTACTTTTCAGAGACTTTGTACAAGACAAATCGCCAAGTACGTGCATCTATCCACAGGTTTTGAGAGACTGATCTATCTAAATATCTGCCTATTACAGCATTAGTATAATGGTGAAGCAGTGATAGTTAGGATTTCGACATTTTGTCGGCATATAGACCTGAAGACATGCTGACTTGTACATCAATATATGACGAATTACAATTTTATTGTCAGTGTCTTTGAGTGAGCGTTTGTCCTGATAGACAATTACCATTTTTGTAGGCATCGCTGCAACAATACTTAGTCATCAAAGCCAAAACCGTAAATAAATAAGTGGCATTTGATGCTGTAATTTATTTTGCACGTCATAGTTGTTTAAAAACACGATATTCCCTCTAACTTCTAGCAGAATGTTTTGCCAACCTGTCAAACTCTAGTCGTACACAAGTTGACCAACTTAAGGTAGCGAGACTATTATTTGCATACTTGTTTTCATCTTCTAATTGTGACTAAATGACTACAAATAGACCCGGGAAAGTATATATTTTTAGAATCGCCAGACTTCAAGCTTTTCACAAGTGTATTTTGCATGCCCGTATCTGCATTCTACGACGTGTTACTCAATCAAAGGTGAAAAATTACTTTTTCTGTAAAAAAAAAATAATTACGCATTTACGCTGGCGATAAGAAGTATTTTTTTCACTTTTCCTAGTTGTTCAATAGTCTGGTAAATTGAATGTGTCTGGTCAGTTTTATTCAAGCAACGCGTTTTAAAAAATAGTGTGCTGAATTTCAATTACTGTTTTAGTCACATTGCCCACAACTCGTTGGTAAATAATCGATGAAATAGTTTGTCTGGACACATTCAAGTTCCTCTCATTGTCACCTTAAAGCTGTGAAAATTTGGTGTTAATCCGACGACAATAAGTATAAGTTATTTTTTGTTAAAGACCTTGTATTTTGAAAAACATAAACTCCTAGAAAACGTCCATGAAGTATCAGCAAAGATTTTCAAGCTTGTTTATCGGCACAATCAATTTGTTTTCCCATCAAGGTCTGTTTTACCATGTGTAGGGGCATCCAAATGTGTAAGGCTATTAGAAACC